GAATGTTCCGTCGGCTGCAGAGCTGCTACTGCTGTGACGAGAGGACAGAGGGCGAGGAGGCGGCCGAAAAGCCCCGGCGGCACGAATGTCACAAGGCCGAGTCCCCGCCGCAGGAGCCGGCGGGCGACACGCAGGAGCACTGGCTGCACGAGGCCTGTGCCGTATGGACCGCTGGGGTTTTCCTGGTGGCGGGGAAGCTCTATGGGCTGCAGGAGGCTGTCAAGGCGGCTGCCGACCTGGTAAGAGCTCGGCCACACGCCCGAGGCGGCATCTTCCGCTGGCCTCCTTCAGCCAACGTCATTCCCGTGTCTGCGCCTCCGGTCGGGATGGAAATGAATAGTTCTGCCCTGGGAAAGCAGGGCAGGTGCTCAGCATCATGAGTCCCTCTGAGTCCCTGCGAAATCTGTGCTGCTGTGTCTGTGATAGCGCCTGAACTCTCCCTTTTAGGCACAGAAATAATCTGTGGTGTTGTGTTTTAGGAAGGCAGCTGGGCTCCCCTGGGATTGTCACATCCCCTGGCCCAGTCGTGTGTTGCACGGGGTGGCTCAGAGCAGGACAGGTGCTGCAGGGTGGGAGATGAAAATGGGCACAATGCAGCCTGATGCCACCGTGGTGGGCAGCAGGGGAAGGGGAGCTGGAGGGAGGGGATGACCCTGCTCCTCTTCCACAGTGATTGGAGCAAGGCCACATCGCGTGAGCAAAATTGGGAGGTTGCTGAGGGGGATGAGAAGTTGGGGCTGGCCCGTTCCTGAAAGTGGTCAAGGCTGGATGGGTCTTGGAGCAACCTGGTCTAGTGGAAAGTATTCCTGCCTGTGGGAGGAGACTGGAATGAGAGGAGGTTTTTTCAGGTCCCTTCCACATCATTCTGGGATTCTGTGACAGGGATTTTTAGTGCTGGAGAGGGTACAGCCTCCCATCAGAGGCTGTGCAGGGGGTTTCCAGCAAGTCCCCCAGTGCCAGATTTGGGGGCTGGCTGTGTTCCCAAGCCAGTGTGCTCATTTCATGGCTGGCTGGAGGCTGCTGCCCTCGCTGCAGAACCAGGTGCTCCCATCCCTGCGGCAGTCACCAGGCACAATCCAGGTCATGTCCCTTCACCTCCTGGCCTGTGGAGTATGGCTGTGGGCTCGTTGTCATCCAGGGGAGTGATGTGGCAGGTAGAAACCTTGTGGATGGCTGCAGACAGCCAAGTGACAGGCATGGTGTGGTTCACAGTGCACTGGCACGGGAGGAAGGATGTTGCCTGGGAGAGGCAAGGAGGGGCTGGAGAGGATCAGGGGACACTCACGTTGCCCTTGCTGGGGCTGTCGTGGTTCTCTTCTTCTGTGCTGGGCTTTGACAGGGTGTCTCTGTCTCTCCACATCTCTCCTTCCCTGCTCCGAATTCCTGGGTGTGTGTACAGAAGTGCTCGAGCTGCCAGCAAGTGGGAGCCACTGTGGGCTGCTGCCAGAAGGGGTGTCCCCACACCTACCACTACGCGTGTGCCGTCGACACAGGTGAGCCCGGCCACGGGGTTGGGGCACGGGGTCCTGGGCAGCTGAATGATGCTCCAGGGTCTCTGGATCTCTGACCCAGCTGAATGATGCTCCAGGGTCTCTGGATCTCTGACCCAGCTGAATGATGCTCCAGGGTCAGGGGTGCGGCTCGCTGGCTTGCCAGGATGGTGGTGCCCGCTTTGCCAGCAGCACTAGCAGGTGTCACAAGCTTCTCTGGCCTCAGCTGAGCCCTTCACACAAATGCTGTGGATGGTGGGTGGCCGTGGACCAGGGGGACACTGCATCCCCCCACTCTGGGGCAGCTGCCTCACAGTGCAGGGTGTCCCCTGACACATCCTTGTCCTCTCCTTGCAGGTTGCTTATTAACTGAGGAGAGCTTCTCTCTGAGATGTCCCAAACATAAGGTAAGCCCAGAGCCCCCCTGTGCACCCCTCAATGATCTGCAGCTCTCTGTGGCAGGAGGACCTGCCTTCAGACCCCGAATTCCTGGGGACACCCATCCTGGATGCTCAGCTCTGTATGGGCATCACATCCCTGGGGATATCGGTGGGTGCTGCTGGGTCTGGGACACCCCAGCTGGGTCTGAGGGGTCTTATCCCCTTCTCTGAGCACAGAGGAGGTGGTGAATGGATGGCTGAGCCCCTTCTCAAAGCGCTGCGTCCCGGGTGAATGCCCGGTTATTGGCGGGGGTGGCCGATGAGGACAACC